TTGGGGTATAAAAACCCCAAGCATCACTATACACTTGGTGAAGATTGGCTGGAGAGCTGCCTGGTGGAGAAGGACCTGGGGGTCTTGGTTGACTATCAGCTTGATATGAGCCAGCAGTGTGCCCAGGTGGCCAAAAAAGCCAATGGGATACTGGTGTGTATCAAGAATAGTGTAACCAGCAGGAACAGGGAAGTGATCCTGCCCCTGTACTCGGCACTGGTGAGGCCGCACCTGGAATATTGTGTCCAGTTTTGGGCCCCTCGCTTTAAGAGAGATATTGAGCTCCTGGAGCAAGTCCAAAGAAGGGTGACTAAACTGGTCAAGGGGCTGGAAAATATAACTTACGGGGAGCAGCTAAGGGAGTTGGGGCTGTTTAGCCTGGAGAAGAGGAGGCTGAGGGGAGACCTGATTACAGCCTACAAATACTTGAGAAGGGATGGTGGGGAGGTAGGGGAAGGGCTCTTTACATTAGTGATGGGTGACAGAACAAGAGGAAATGGGTATAAGCTTAGTCATGGGAGGTTCAGATTGGATGTTAGAAAGAATTTCTTCTCTGAAAGGGTTGTCAGCCACTGGAATAGGCTGCCCAGGGAGGTGGTTGAGTCCCCATCCCTGGATGTGTTTAAGAAAAGGGTGGATGAACTACTTAGGGATATGGTTTAATGGGGGATTAGGGACGGTTGGACTGGATGATCTCTAAGGTCTTTTCCAACCTAGGAACCTATAGGAACCTATGAATCAAGTTTTGAATAAAGTCTTTAGAGTATGACTGATTTCTTGCCTCTGTTAAACTAACTAAATTCAATCCATCAATTTCTAGATCGACAAAGAAACCCAGGTTAAAACAAGTGCATTGTATTTTTCTCCTCAATAAAGGGAGGAAACAAGGGTTATCTGTAAATAAGTATGCACTCCCTTTCTACAGCACATAGCTAAAAGTGGCACTAAACAGCAAGGTACACAGACCATTTTTTAATTCCAAACTCCCTTTCAATTTTCAGCATTAAAACTTAAGATATCTTCACAGCAAAAATACAAAAGTCCCAGCCATTAACAACATATAGGCACAAATGTTCATGTAAGAAGTTTAATATACCTATAGTCTGAAGGTAATACCCCCAGATGGTTACGTATTGTAACTGACCATATAAAGAAACTAACCAGCTGGGAAGCTTGTCTGCTAGTACTCGATAGAGATGAGACCTTGACAAACATCCACAGCACAAATACGCCTAAAATCTGGAACTCCCCAAGGTCTGCTTCAAGCTTCAACCAGTAGTCTTGCAAAATATGTAACATGCGTAATAGAATGGAATCACGACTAGGTCAATAGCAAGAGCACAAGTTTAAAAACAAGCAATTTTGTCTTCCCTGGAAAACAATTAGCAATAAGGAAAGTTACCTATGCTTTGTAGAATTTCAATCAGTTTATCCCTCTTGGAATACTGAGAAACCTGAAGAATATTTTGCTGAACATCACTGCAAGCTCCACCCACTCGTCCAACAACAACAAATAAATAATCAGTTTTCAAAAATTCACCAGCCAGCCTTGAAAAGAAACAAAATCACGCAACATGAATTCTATTATGTAGCTTATCTTTGCTTTATGATCAAATAACTTATATTTAAGCAACCCTCACAACAAACACTTTATCATTCTTCATAAGGCAGAGCATATAAGTAATTGTTATGTGCACTTTTTGAAAAAAGCTAACAGTGTGTACTGTTTTCTAGACAGTTGTACAAAAATCACTGATTGGTAAGAAGGTAAACAGACTCATTAGGTCCCGGCAGCTTTTCATAACACAAACACTGCATTTTCTACCCATCTCAGAAAGAGTTCCACATATATGCTTGTATTAACATAGGTTACTGACATACACGCTCACAGAAACATTCTTGGTGCACTATTTCATAACAAGCTGGAGAGATGGGAGAACTCTACACAGGCCAGAATTCCAAACAGGCCTCCAAGAGACAACATCATCCTTTTTGACTGTTCAACAAAAGCACTCCCTAAAACACATAGTTTATTACAGGACATGTGGCATTTATTTATCAGTTGCCACATGCAAAACTCAAGCTTTACTCCAACAGCATTCCTTTTCAGTTATCCCTTCCATAGGTAAGGTTCAATCCCTTGATCAAACTCACCAAAACAAGTAATTCCTTGGAATGCCCCACAATATTCAAGTGTTTTACTAAACTGTATTACTTATCAATACAGTGTGCTTCACATCCAGTGTATGCAAAACAGCTTCCACTACTGTAAAATTCAAATGGTAAATAAGTCAACCTTTAACTAAAAACTGGCAACCTCAAGTTTTAGAACAAATTCCTAAAAGAGAGTAAAGTCTTAAAAATATTACAAGACTGCCTTAAGGACTTGAATCTCACCTGATTTACAGGTTTAATTGCCACTGAAAAGGTGTTTTTCATAGCAAATAAAAAAGTTACTGGAAATTTAAATGTTTAGTCTTAAGATCTGACTGGTTTAAGATCTCACAGAGACATAGCTCTAAATTTGAAGTAAAGGGCAAGTTTAAACTCTGAAAATGGAACAGTAAACAAAAAACAGGAAGGGAGAGAAGAAAGAAAAGACCTTTCAATGGGAGATATAGAGCCCCAGATGCTAAGCTGAAGTTCACCACTCAGCTAGGAAATGCATGGTTCTCTCAACTCACGTGCTCAGGAAGACCCTTAATGATCAGATCAAAGGTTTTTGTAGCAGCAGACACGCAAATTCAGGTACCAAACCAAACAGTGTGTTAAAACAAAATCTGATTACACTCACTGAACAGAAGTGCAGGACATCCTGAACATAGCAGGGTCAAGGTCAAAGCACCTTGTCCTATACTATCGGAAGAATTTTTCGGAAGAGTATACTGTCCAAAGTTGTTGATAGCAGAGTATGAGAAAACATTAGCTTTCCTGACTGCAGAATTAGAAAGGCAGTAAATCCTGGAAGAAACCAACTCCAGAAAATAAAGATTTTCAATCTCTAAAACAAGAACATCATCTCTAGGCATTCCAGTTTCAAAAGATAAAAAGAATATTATTATGCACTTGCAAACCATGATTCAAGCACTCAGTCTCAGCACTGAAGCCTTCTACCAGCACTTGTACATAGAATTGTAGAATGGTTTGGGCTGGAAGAGATCTTCAAGATCACCTTGTTCCAACGCCCCTGCCATGGGCAGTGACACCTTCTCCTAGATCACGTTGCTCAAAGCCTCATTCAACCTGGCCTTGAACACTTCCAGGGATGGGGCATCCTTCAACACTGACAGCACAAAGGTAGACCTGTGGTTTTTGTCATTAAACAGAAGATGACAGTCAATATCTTGCACAGTTGAAGGAATCTCCTCCTTTCAGATGCTGGTAGTTACACTACTCTTTGCTCATCCCTCAGTATGTAGCAAAAACCACTGCAAGAGTATTAGTGAAAACACATGGATAAAGACAACAGATCTAGAGATCAAGGGATCAAGATTCCTCTCCCAACCCCAAAATCTAAAGCCATCAAGAGCGCACTGTGCATCTTAAAGCGAGACATACTTGATCTTTTCCCAGGATGCAGTACAAAGTAAGACCACATTCCCGCACAAACAGTAAACACATGGAATCAACACGGAATGAACATGAATGCCCAGAGAGGTGGATGCTCCATCCCTGGAGGCGTTCAAGGCCAGGTTGGACGAGGCCCTGAGCAACCTGATCTAGTTGGAGATATCCCTGTTCCTTGCAGGGGTTTGGACTAGATGACCTTTGAAGGTCCCTTCCAGCCCTAACCATTCCATGATTCTATGAACCACACTCATGTAGAGTATCATTTGAACACTCGATTCCCAGCTGCGGAAACAAGGCAGTTCACTTAGCTTACTAAAGATCATCTTCTAATACAAACAACTATGAAAAAAGTCTTGACTGGGGAACCGAAGCCACAACAGGCAACTTAAGGACAAGTTTACAGTGAATTCAGTCCTACTTAAAGAAAGATGATTCATCTCCCTAAGAGCTGTCAGTATTAACTGCTTGAATGAGAGAAAGCAGCCCAATCTCCTCTTTCATTCAGGACAGTCGACTACTGAAGATATTTTCCCCTCACCTCAAAAAAGCTTTTGAAGGCTTTTGAAGGCCAGAAAGTTGTCAGGACTTGAGTCACTGAGTACTAACATACTTCACTGCAATGGTCTGATGAGTTTACATGCTCTCAAACTGTAATATATCTACTGGTATTTTTAGTGATTCTTTCACAACAGTAACCCTACCACAAAAGTCACCAAATTATGTCAACTGCTCAAACTGCAGTTCAGACTTCTACAATTTGAGTATTCAGATCCCTGACTCTTTCAAAAGTGGAAATACTGAATAATTTCCATCCACCTACAGGGAACGGGGTGTTTTGTTCTGTTACTCCCAGGCTCAGCAACCTCATTATCATCTAATGAAGACTGTTATCTCAGAAAAGTGGAACTTTAAGGGTAGTGAGTACATACAGATAGATATATCCTAAATTCATTTGTGGGAGCTTTAAAACTACCGAAAACAATAGCACTTCTGCATGTAAGAACTGTATGTCAGAAAGGTTGGTAAACTGACCAAGGCCCTGAGCAACCTGATCTAGTTGGAGATATCCCTGTTCCTTGCAGGGGGGTTGGACTAGATGACCTTTGAAGGTCCCTTCCAGCCCTAACCATTCTATGATTCTATGATTCTATGAGCAATAACTGGGATGCGTGGTGATATTATGTCCTGGTGCCAAAGAGTGCTATCAGTGCTGCTTGTGAAACAGCAAGATGACTGTTTTTGAGCTTGCACAGATGTGGTGAGGGAAGGACAAGAAACAAACAGGAGCAGTATGAGGACTTCTGCAGAAGTGGAATTTAAAATTCAGATAAACTTCTTAAGTTGCTTTAGAGTTTCCACCTAAATTAAGCAGTTAATCTATGCAAGTTCCCTGAAAACAGGGAAGTCTTCAGCAAGGAATGTTAACATCATAGTTTTTCAGTATCTTTTAGCAAGATGTGGTGGGTTGACCCTGGCTGGGTGACAGATACCCACCAAAGCTGCTTTATCACTCCTCTCCTCAGCTGCATAGGGGAGAGAAAATATAGTGAAATGCTCGTGGGTTGAGATAAGGACAGGGAGAAATCATTCACCAGTTACTATCACGAGCAAAACAGACTCGACTTGGCGAAAATTAATTTAATTTATTACCAGACAAATCAGAGCAGAATAACGAGAAATAAAACCAAATCTTAAAACTCCTTCCCCTAATCCTGCCTTCTTCCAGAGCTCAACTTCACTCCTGAATTCTCTACCTCTTCCCTCTCAGCAGTGCAGGGGAATGGAGAATGGGGGTTGCAGTGAGCTCATCACACATTGTTTCTGTCACTCCTTCCTTCTCAGAGGAAGGACTCCTCACACTCTCTCCCTGCTCCAGTGTGGGGTCCCTTCCCAGAAGAGACGGTCCTCCACGAACTTCTCCAACATGAGTCCTTCCCACAGGCTGCAGCTCTTCACAAACTGCTCCATCATGGGTCCCTCCCACAGCCTGCAGCCCTTCAGGAACAGAATGCTCCAGCACAGGCTTGCCATGGGACCACAGCCTCCTTCAGAGGCATCCACCTGCTCCAGCATGGGGTCCTCCATAGGCTACAGATCTCTGCTCCACTGTGGACCTCCATGGGCTGCAGGGGGAAAGCCTGCCTCACCATGGTCTTCACCATGGGCTGCAGGGGAATCTGTTCTGGCACCCAGAGCAACTCCTCCCCTTCCTTCTTCACTGACCTCGGTGTCTGCATAGCTGTTTCTCTCACAGATTCTCTTTGGATGCAACTGCAGAGTTTTTTTCCCAAGCTTTCTTCAAAATGTTATTACCGTGGCGCTACCACCCATGCTGACAGACTCAGCCTTGGCCAGCAGCAGGTCAGCCTTAGAGCTGGCTGGCATTGGCTCTATCGGACAAAGGGGAGGCTTCTAGCAGCTTCTCACAGAAACCACCCCTGTAGCCTCCCTGCTACCAAAACCTTGCCACACAAACCCAATACACAAGATAAGCTTTCAAACAGAAGGAGTGCTAACTCTTCAGACATTTAGCTCTATACAAGTACATCTTCTGATATATTGCCATTTACTTTACTCACCTCTGAACTTCCTCAGGAAAAGTGGCACTAAACATTAGTGTTTGACGTTTGTCTTTTGGTGGCATGCTTGGATAAGAAATCAGCTTCTTCATATCTAACCCAAAACCCATGTCAAGCATGCGGTCTGCTTCATCTAGCACCAAATATTTCACCTGATGCAAACCAATCTGCAAGTATTTCAGTGAAAGACTGTATTAGTTCACTGGCAGTATATGCTTATAGAATTTCCTAATTGTCAAAATCCACCTTTTACTTATTATAAAGTCTAGAAGCTATTTATTCACAATTAAAAGCCCATGTGCACTATTTTATTCCCATCTCAAACCTCTACTTAACTTTTTAACCTGTACTTATTCTAATAGTATGTGTACACTTCAGAACCTGGTTCAGCAATGTAAACCAAGACAGAGCCTGTAGATCAATTATTTTTTGGCACATCTGTTTTGAAATTATGTCTGACTTTTAGAAAGGTTCTCTCATACAACCCTCGCATATTCCAAAAAACTCCCTGTTCTGAAAAAATTTATGCCAGAAAGCATTATGGACATCACAACTTCACTGTTGCTGACCAAGACTGTCACTTTGACTACAAGCCTGACAATCGCAGAAAGCCAATCTCCAGTTTATTAGCAAGAAGTGTTTTTCCAAACCTCATTTGTCCAGTCTAACATCACTGACCCACCATTATGTAATATTTAGCAATTTCGATTTGAACTTACAATGCCTGGAAAAATAAAAATTCAAATACAGTACTATACCTGATTTTTTTTATATTTTGAATAAAATCAGTATTAAAACACTCAAAGAATTAATAATACCATCATTCCAGACAGATAAAAGCTATTGCAGCAAAATAAACGGGAAGTCAAGTAAAAATCTGCTATGGAATTTTCCATGAGAACTAGGAGAAGGTGGTTCCATGTATTTTAACTACAAAATTTAATTGCCAAGAACACTGCAGCCAGTTTGATTTAAACTGCTATTTTCCAGTGGGCCCTGAAAGGGACTGAAGAGATCTGGACTCACATTACTCTTTCAAAAACCTCATGGTATAGATGTTACAAGAAAAGTTCACTTATATTTTAAGTGCCTGTACAAAGGCTGCAGCATATTGACTGTTTTTCATGGCTCCACCTTCACTTCTATTGAATTTGAAGAATGAAAACCAGTATGTAAAAAGCTAAGAGTGTTCAGGGAACTCAGATTAAGTTTTAAGATCTTACCTTCTCTCTTCCAATGATGTCTAGAAGCCTTCCTGGAGTGGCACATAGTATATTACAGCCTTGCATTACCTGACGAATTGAATGGCCTGTTTGTGTACCTCCATAGATTACAACAGGCCTTATACAAGTTCTATTATACAGAAAAAAAAAACTTGGATTAATTATGTAAGCATGCAAACAGTGTTCTTTCATGAAAACATGTAAAAATTCATCAGATCTACCATTAACCAGCTTAGAGGGGTTCAATTCCTTCACCACACAGCACAGCTTATAACCAAAACCAGGACCCAAGACCAGAAACTCACTCACCCTAAGCTCAAAGTTCCCATTCACACTATGTAACAGAGGCTCCACAGGTGGCTTACTTGGAAAGAACAATGCATTTCATGAGCATTCTTCCCTCTCCCTTCAACAGAGCTACCGGCAGTAAGAGCCAAAATGATGTTAGGCATTGTCCCTTTTAATACAGTACACTTAGAAAAAGCAGAACAACCAAATACACACCTTTAGAGCTTCAGAAGTTATCTTTCCACACCCTGAAAGGACAAATATAATTTTCTTCCTGTGCACTGGTGAAACCTATCTCTTAGCAGCAGAAAGATCACTGGCAAACTACTACCATGGCACTCTCGTGCAACATCCAAGGGCTCAACGACAAGTTTAGACTTTTTGTTCTGTTTCAAAGAAGCAGAGCTTTAAAAGAGCTTGCTTGAGCTGTGAAATTTCTGTCCAAGACCAGAAACACTGGGAAGTACAGAGTTATTAGAAACCATCACTGAAAGTTATATGTATCTCTATTTTTGTCAAGATGAAAATAAAATCATGTATACATCACATATGGCAAGCTAAATTTAAGTTACTTCATTTAAGAAATTCTGTTTTTCTTATCAGTAAAACTCATGTGACACAAGTTAAGTACTAATCTCTTCAAGCCGGAGTAAGCCTCCACTCCACCCTGTATCAGGAAGATTAGGAGTTTAAATCCCTAGCCATATAGTAAGAAATCTGCTAGCCAGTATTACCATCTAAGTTCAAATGTCTGTAGTCATTTGACTGGCATTGAAAAAAAATTTGAAGTGTTAATGAAAAATAAAACACTGCTGATTCAGACAAACGATACTAGGCAACAGTGCAAAAGCTTACCCATACACAAATTTTCTTGCTTCTAGGAAGATCTGATTTATCAGTTCTCTAGTTGGGGCGACAATAATACATTCTGGTTCTTGCTGCTCTTTAAAGCTAGTAGCAGTTACTCCATCTCTCATCATGTGGGCCACAATTGGTAGAAGAAAGGCCGCCTAAAAAAAAGCATCAGTATTTATGCTGCTTACTTTCAAAGCTTTCATAATTCACACTAAAAGCTCTACTATCAATTGTAAAGCTAGAATGACAGAGCACATTATCAACTTTAAGGAAATCAGACTGCAAAAGGATTGACCTGAATGTACTACAAAACATTTAAGCCTAGTTCTCCTTGTTCAAGAACTATGAAAATATCTCTCTGGACCTTAAAGAGTCTAATAATGCACAAAGAGAGTCATACACTAGCTAACTTCTGGGTTCTTCAGGCTGTTCCACACTTCACGCTGACATGCATTGATAATTATGTACCCCAGGATCAAAACCCCTCCTTAACATTTACTTACAAGCTTTACATTATCATCAGTAGATTTGTAAGGTAACTGTATCACCATTCTCCAGACTACTACAATAGCAGATCAGTTTGCAACACAACTGCACCAGCACCCTTACTTCCATGTAAGACTAGTTACCTCCGAGACTCTGTACAGCAGTCCCAAAAGCATTCAGAATATTTCTAGCATAAACTTTGAACATTTCCCCCTCTGCAAACGGAAGATGCTTTTCAAAACAAGTAACTAATAAGCTACGTAACAACAAAGCTAGAATTCCATACTACACTGAACAGCAAAAAACTATACTTAATATCCAAATATTCTCATATAGAGCTGTCAGTGGTTACATTTGGGTACATTAAACAGTTTAACAAGTTGAGACAACTGTCAACTTAATATCAACGCTCAATGCTTTCCATGATTGATGCTCAGTCAGCTATAACTAAGTTTGGTGCAGAACAGACTTAATCAAACCAAGGATGAAAGACCAGCACAACACATCATTACAACCTGGCATAAGTTTAAAAAAACAACAACAACAACAACAACAAAAAACCCACAAAAACAAAAAACCCCACAACCACACACAAACCAAAACATAAATACCAACACAAAAAAACCACCCACAACTCAACACAAAAACCCATACAAAACTGCTGAGTTTTTTTTCTCATCAGCAGTTTCTGTGACTGCCTAAACTTCTGAATCTGTAACTGCAGCTCTGAAGACTGGCCTGCTGTATCAAGACACTAGTTCACTGAAATTAAACACAGCCCAAAAATGTGACTGTCCATCCATCATTCACATCTGTGCTTAATACTACACCTGTCGTTGCAGTGCAAGTCGAATCATTACACAACAAGCTGTGAAGCATCTGGCACGTGGAAAACCGAGGCATCCACCTCAAACTTCTAGTAGCATGAATACTACACAAAATGCTTACAGTTTTTCCTGATCCTGTCTGGGCACATGCCATTAAATCTCGTCCTGCCAGTATCACAGGAATGCTGTACTTTTGCACTGGAGTAAGTTTAGAGTACCCAGCTCTGGCAATATTCATGTTTAAAGTCTGACAGAGGTTAGCTTCTTCAAAAGCCTACAAGAGAAAAAATGAATTATTAACAGTACACAACCACAGAAAATAAAAATTTAAAAACCGAGATGCCTACCATAGTATACAGACATCCAAACACAAAAAAGTAGTAATATTTGAAGAGGTCTCACCAGTCAGCTAGATTGCCAAGGTTTCTAAAGGCAAAAGCCCAAAAGGTTTCTTCAACCTGTTCATGCCATTCAAATAAAGCTGTCTGTGGGACAGTGAAGGCCTTTAGGTGGTCTTATCAGCTTTGATAGAAAACTACTTGGAAGCCATACATCTGGATTCAGGCAGGTAAATTCACATCACGGCGTACTATGGAAACAAACTGAAACTCTTGAGCCAGCAACGTGCACTTGCAGCCCAGAAAGCCAACCATACTCTGGGCTGCTTTCAAAGAAGAGCAGACAAGAGGTCCAGGGAGGTGATCTTCCACCTCCACTCTGATCTCATTAGACCCCAACTGGAGTATTGCACTCAGCTCTGGGGCTCCCAACATAAGAAGGACATGGAGCTGTTGGTCCAGAGGAGGGCCATGAAGATGATCCGAGGGCTGGAGAGAGTTGGGGCTGTTCAGCCTGGAGAAGGCTGCAGGGTGATCTTACAGCAGCCTTCCAGTACTTAAAGGGGGCCTACAAGAAAGCTGGACAGGGACATTTTACAAGGGCATGTAGCGATAGGACAAAGGGCAATGGCTTTAAACTGAAAGAGGGGAGATTTAGATTAGATATGAGGAATAAATTTTTTACAATGAGGGTGGTGAAACACTGGAAGAGGTTGCCCAGGGCAGCTGTGGATGCCCCATCCCTGCAGGTGTTCAAAGCCAGGTGGGATGAGGCTTTGAGCAACCTGATCGAGTAGAATGTGTCCCTGCCCATGGGAGGGAAGTTGGAACTAGATGATCTTGAAGGTTCCTTCCAACCCAAACTATTCTATGATTCTTGTTTCACTTCACATAGGCGATGCACACTTAGTAACTGTGCTGTAAGGGGAGCTAAAGCAACATCCCTATTCAGCATCAAAAAGCATCATACATGACAAAATCAGTTTAAGAGAGAAAACCTTTCAGAACATGGATGGCAAAAAAAACCTCTGCATCTTCTCTTTCTACACTACTTATCCCCTCCGCCCTTCTTCCTCATTCTTCTCCCCTAAAAGGAGCTTTTTTTTTCCTTAACACTAGTCACCTGGTATGGTTATATGTTACTTTTAAATAATAAACAGCAGCCACAGAAAAAAAGGCTATTAATTACTTCAAAAACACCTCTCTGTCTAAATGAAAACTACTCCAACAGGTATTTACATTGTTAAAGATCACCCAGTAACAGACTTCAACAAGATTACTCTAACAGGCTTCCCAGAAACTGCTGTCAAAGACCTCTTTCTCTCAACACCTCAAATGGTATTGTTCTGCAATTTAAGGACTATGCTTCCTGTCCATCCAGTATTACTTTCTCGGAGCCATTTCTGTAGTTTGTCAACGTTGTTCTGAATTCAAATTTGTTGTCTTTCAAATGGGCAGCATCTCCTTTCAACCCAGTACTGTCTGCAAGATTCAAAATCTTTATCAATATTTTCATTAGCAGTGAATATTAGACTTAGCATACATCCTTGCGGACTCATGCTCAACATAAACCCTGAGATTAATGAGTTCACTAACCAGTAATGGTGCTGGAGGGTCAAGTCCTGACACTTCGACAACGTTTTCATCATACTTGTCAAAATTAATTCCTGTCTGATAACGTGCAAAGATGGCTTGTTCATCATCAGGCGGAGGAGGAGGCACATAAGTCACCTTTGGACCTTAAGAATATAATATATATGAACAATATAAAGAAAACTTAAACTAAAACTATTTTAAGCATGGAGCTATTGAAGTTAAGTTCAGTGAGATGTCATTTAGACTTCTCTCCACTTCTCAGGAAGGCAAGAAAATCTCATGAATGAATTCTATTAGAACTTAAGTTTTCTACCACTAGACCTAAAACTCAGTTACAAATAAAGTCAGACTTTTGTAAAGCATTCCTGTCTCGCATTCGCTCAAGGACCTTACTTTGAAGGGCAACTCAGAAAATTAAATTAGGCTCCACTTCATCACCATGAGAAAAACAATTCCGCCACAGAAACTCATTACACTATAAATTATCCTATTCAGTAAAAATGCATTTATTAATACACAAGGATAAAATTAATCTGTTCATGGCAGTACATTTATAGTTGTCTTCCTTAAGGTATTTTTTCAAGCTAATAAACTCAGAGGTATAAAATTAATTATTTGATGCTAACTAGAAGGTTAGCAGTAGAAGCCATTTCACAGAGACCTCAAATGAGGAAGGATCAGGAACTAAAATTATTCATACAAAAGTCGGGAGTTCACTATTTGTCTTTTTGCATTTCAAGAGTAAGAGAAAGGCAAAATAAGACTGAAGTCATTTGCAAAAACACTGCAGGTAAGTAAATATTCTAACAAATTGTCCCAGCTGACACTTTCTATACATGTCAGAAAGTCATTACTGATCACACATTTCAACCTGATCTCCTGCACATACAAACCATGAAACGCTATTTAATAACTTGCACTCAGTAAAACACATCAAGCACATTTTCTAGAAATAGCATCCCAGATGCTGTGGCATCTGAAACTGAGAATCTACTGGTTCTTCGCCATTTGCTTTAATGACTGTCATCACTTAAGATGCCTACACTGTTGCCGAATAAGTTCTTGTTACACTTGAGTCTCAAGTAGATCAGCTTTACAAGTAGAAAGAAGAAACAGCCAGCAACTGAGGAATTCTATAGCACCCCATTTCAAAAACTTAGTCTTTATTTAGGTGAGAACAACCACTGTGTTGCCCAGAAATTTAAAGATTAACAAAGTTTAAACATGCTGAGTTTAACAGTAACTTCTTGGCAACTCAGGTTAGGTGAACAGTTTTGAGATGGTTATGCATTTACCAGAATCACTACCTTCTTTTTTTACCCAAATACTTCCAGGAACTTTAAGTAAGAGAATGCTCCTTAATTTAAAAGCAAATTAAAACTGGCATGTTACTTGTGAAAAGGCTACTTACCTTTTTCAGAGTTTATTTCTTCACCGCATTCTCTGTAAGCTGCTGCTAAAGAAAGCATTCCAAAGTTAATTGCCTTTAGGAAAAAAGTTCATTTGAGAGAAAACCTAAATAAGAATCTTAATGAAAAATTCCTAGAGGCACTTCAAAAGCTCAACAGTGGGTCCTGATATGGTCGGTAAAATGAGTGGAAATATTTAGGCAAGCAGTGAAAGTTTAGTTACAAAAAGCCAGAAGACAAAGGCCCCGTATTTGTGTTTTCAAGAGCAGAGAGGATGTCATAACACTATGCTTAGCAGGATCTCACAATAGCAACATGCAGGAATTAAACTCAGCATCTTGCTGAGGGACTTCACAAAGCAGATCTGGTCCTTATGCGACTTGCAGTAAGTCCCTTATCATCAAATCAAATGCAATTATCCAGATCATGAGATGACTATCACAAGATGTCTAGATAAAGCAAGTTGTATTTAAAGACAACCAAGAGGAATGATCCCTCCTAAATCCAGCATTTGCTTTGCAAGGACAGATACAGTTGTCTATATTCACGGAGAACAATCATGAACAAAAAATCACCTGCAACAAGAAACTGAAATGCCACAGAAACGACAGTTTTATAACCCTGTTTTGTTACCTCTTAAGGGAGGTTTTCCCCTAAAACTGATAAACAAAATATTGTGAGTAACAAGAAATTCACACATGCTTAACATTTACAGCATCCTGGTTTTAAGAACTGCTCAACTTCTCCACAAAATCAGGAGATGTTCGTTTTACACTATGCAACCAACTTCTAAACAACTGAAGAGTCATAGCCATAAACTTCCATGTCATCACAATAACTTTTCAAGAGTTAGGAGAAAATTTAAATCTGAAAACTATCATTATTTCAGCAGCCACACATTTATAACATCCACTTGATGAAAGTTCTGACTTTGACACCCACAATCTATCCCGGGGACTCTCTACTCTCAAGAGTGCGCGCTCTCTCTCTCTCTCGTTCTCTCTTTCTTTCTCTCCAGGCCTCTTGCTCATCCAGGACTGCGGTGTCAGGACTTACTCATTTTGGGACTTCCAGGGATGGGGCATCCACAACTTCTCTGGGCAACCGGTTCCACTGCCTCACCACACTCAATGTAAAACATTTCTTCCTTATATCGAATCTAAATCTCCCCTCTTTCAGTTTAAAGCCATTGCCCCTTGTCCGATCACTACATGCCCTCGTAAAAAGTCCCTCT